AGGAGGCACTCACCAACAAGACAGGAGACACCAACAAGACAGGAGGCACCAACAAGACAGGAGGCACTCACCAACAAGACAGGAGGTACCAATAAGACAGGAGGCACCAACAAGGCAGGAGACACCAACAAGACAGGAGGCATTCACCAACAAGACAGGAGGCATTCACCAACAAGACAGGAGACACTCTCCAATAAGACAGGAGGCACCAACAAGACAGGAGGCACCAACAAGACAGGAGACACTCTCCAACAAGACAGGAGGCACCAACAAGACAGGAGGCACCAACAAGACAGGAGACACCAACAAGACAGGAGGCACCAACAAGACAGGAGACACTCTCCAACAAGACAGGAGACACAAACAAGACAGGAGGCACCAACAAGACAGGAGGCACTCACCAACAAGACAGGAGACACCAACAAGACAGGAGGCATTCACCAACAAGACAGGAGGCACCAACAAGACAGGAGGCACCAATAAGACAGGAGGACCCAACAAAGCAGGAGGCACCAATAAGACAGGAGGCACCAACAAGAAAGGAGACACTCTCCAACAAGACAGGAGGCACCAACAAGACAGGAGACACCAACAAGACAGGAGACACTCTCCAACAAGACAGGAGGCACTCACCAACAAGACAGGAGGCACCAACAAGACAGGAGGCACCAATAAGACAGGAGGCCCCAACAAAGCAGGAGGCACCAATAAGACAGGAGGCACCAACAAAGCAGGAGACACCAACAAGACAGGAGGCACCAACAAGACAGGAGACACTCTCCAACAAGACAGGAGGCACTCACCAACAAGACAGGAGACACCAACAAGACAGGAGACACTCTCCAACAAGACAGGAGGCACTCACCAACAAGACAGGAGGCACCAACAAGACAGGAGGCACCAATAAGACAGGAGGCACCAACAAGGCAGGAGGTACCAACAAGACAGGAGGCACCAACAAGGCAGGAGGTACCAACAACACAGGAGGCACCAACAAGACAGGAGACACCAACAAGACAGGAGGCACCAATAAGACAGGAGGCACCAACAAGACAGGAGACACCAACAAGACAGGAGGCACCAACAAGACAGGAGGCACTAACAAGACAGGAGACACCAACAAGACAGGAGGCACCAATAAGACAGGAGGAAACCAACAAGACAGGACGTACCAACAAGACAGGAGGCACCAACAAGACAGGAGGCACCAATAAGACAGGAGGCACCAACAAGACAGGAGACACCAACAAGACAGGAGGCACCAATAAGACAGGAGGCACCAACAAGACAGGAGACACCAACAAGACAGGAGGCACCAACAAGACAGGAGGCACCAACAAGACAGGAGACACTCTCCAACAAGACAGGAGGCACCAACAAGACAGGAGGCACCAATAAGACAGGAGGCACTCACCAACAAGATAGGAGACACCAACAAGACAGGAGGCACTCACCAACAAGACAGGAGGCACCAACAAGACAGGAGGCACTCTCCAACAAGACAGGAGACACCAACAAGACAGGAGGCACTCACCAACAAGACAGGAGGCACCAACAAGACAGGAGGCACCAACAAGACAGGAGGCACCAACAAGACAGGAGACACTCTCCAACAAGACAGGAGGCACTCACCAACAAGACAGGAGGCACTCACCAACAAGACAGAAGACACTCTCCAACAAGACAGGAGACACTCACAAACAAGACAGGAGACACTCACCAACAAGACAGGAGGCACCAACAAGACAGGAGGCACCAACAAGACAGGAGGCACCAATAAGACAGGAGACACTCTCCAACAAGACAGGAGGCACTCACCAACAAGACAGGAGGCACTCACCAACAAGACAGAAGACACTCACCAACAAGACAGGAGACACTCACCAATAAGACAGGAGACATTCACCAACAAGACAGGAGACACTCACCAACAAGACAGGAGACACTCATCAACAAGACAGGAGACACTCACCAACAAGACAGGAGACATTCACCAACAAGACAGGAGACACTCATTACCAAGACAGGAGACACTCACCAACAAGACAGGAGGCACTCACAAACAAGACAGGAGGCACTCACCAACAAGACAGAAGACACTCTCCAACAAGACAGGAGACACTCACCAACAAGACAGGAGACACTCTCCAACAAGACAGGAGGCACTCACCAACAAGACAGAAGACACTCTCCAACAATACAGGAGGCACTCACCAACAAGACAGAAGACACTCTCCAACAAGACAGGAGGCAGTCACCACCAAGACAGGAGACACTCACCAACACGACAGAAGACACTCACCAACAAGACAGGAGGCACCAACAAGACAGGAGGCACCAACAAGACAGGAGGTACCAATAAGACAGGAGGCACCAACAAGGCAGGAGACACCAACAAGACAGGAGACACCAACAAGACAGGAGGCACTCACCAACAAGACAGGAGGCACCAACAAGACAGGAGACACTCTCCAACAAGACAGGAGGCACCAACAAGGCAGGAGGCACCAACAAGACAGGAGACACCAACAAGACAGGAGACCCTCTCCAACAAGACAGGAGACACCAACAAGACCGGAGGCACCAATAGGACAGGAGGCACCAACAAGACAGGAGACACCAACAAGACCGGAGGCACCAATAAGACAGGAGGCACCAACAAGACAGTAGACACCAACAAGACCGGAGGCACCAATAAGACAGGAGGCACCAACAAGGCAGGAGACACCAACAAGACAGGAGGCATCAACAAGACAGGAGGCACCAACAAGACAGGAGGCACTCACCAACAAGACAGAAGACACTCACCAACAAGACAGGAGACATTCACCAACAAGACAGGAGACACTCTTTAACATGACATGAGACACTCACCAACAAGACAGGAGGCACTCACAAACAAGACAGGAGGCACTCACCAACAAGACAGAAGACACTCTCCAACAAGACAGGAGGCACTCACCAACAAGACAGGAGGCAGTCACCAACAAGACAGAAGACACTCTCCAACAAGACAGGAGGCACTCACCAACAAGACAGGAGGCAGTCACCAACAAGACAGAAGACACTCTCCAACAAGACAGGAGGCACTCACCAACAAGACAGGAGGCACTCACCAACAAGACAGAAGACACTCTCCAACAAGACAGGAGGCAGTCACCAACAAGACAGAAGACACTCACCAACAAGACAGGAGGCACTCACCAACAAGACAGGAGGCACCAACAAGACAGGAGGCATTCACCAACAAGACAGGAGACACTCACCAACAAGACAGGAGGCACCAACAAGACAGGAGGCACCAACAAGGCAGGAGGCACCAACAAGACAGGAGGCACCAACAAGGCAGGAGGCACCAACAAGACAGGAGACACTCACCAACAAGACAGGAGGCAATCACCAACAAGACAGGAGGCACCAACAAGACAGGAGGCATTCACCAACAAGACAGGAGACACTCTCCAACAAGACAGGAGGCACCAACAAGACAGTAGGCACTCACCAACAAGACAGGAGGCACCAACAAGACAGGAGGCACCAACAAGGCAGGAGGCACCAACAAGACAGGAGACACTCTCCAACAAGACAGGAGGCACCAACAAGACAGGAGGCACCAACAAGACAGGAGGCACCAACAAGACAGGAGGCACCAACAAGACAGGAGACACTCCCCAACAAGACAGGAGGCACCAACAAGACAGGAGGCACCAACAAGACAGGAGACACTCTCCAACAAGACAGGAGGCACCAACAAGACAGGAGGCACTAACAAGACGGGAGACTCTCCAACAAGACAGGAGACACTCTCCAACAAGACAGGAGGCACCAATAAGACAGGAGGCACCAACAAGGCAGGAGGCACCAACAAGGCAGGAGGCACTCTCCAACATGACAGGAGGCACCAACAAGACAGGAGGCACCAACAAGGCAGGAGGCACTCTACAACAAGACAGGAGGCACCAACAAGACAGGAGACACTCTCCAACAAGACAGGAGGCACCAACAAGACAGGAGGCACCAACAAGGCAGGAGGCACCAACAAGACAGGAGGCACCAATAAGACAGGAGGCACCAACAAGACAGGAGGCACCAATAAGACAGGAGGCACCAATAAGACAGGAGGCACCAACAAGACAGGAGGCACCAATAAGACAGGAGGCACAAATAAGACAGGAGGCACCAACAAGACAGGAGGCACCAATAAGACAGGAGGCACCAACAAGACAGGAGGCACCAATAAGACAGGAGGCACCAATAAGACAGGAGGCACCAACAAGACAGGAGGCACCAATAAGACAGGAGGCACCAACAAGACAGGAGGCACCAATAAGACAGGAGGCACCAACAAGACAGGAGGCACCAACATGGCAGGAGACACCAACAAGACGGGAGACACTCTCCAAGAAGACAGGAGGCACCAATAAGACAGGAGACACCAACAAGACAGGAGGCACCAATAAGACAGGAGACACCAACAAGACAGGAGGAACCAACAAGACAGAAGACACCAACAAGACAGGAGACACTCACCAACAAGACAGGAGGCACCAACAAGACAGGAGGCACCAATAAGACAGGAGACACTCACCAACAAGACAGGAGGCACCAACAAGACAGGAGGCACCAACAAGACAGGAGGCACCAACAAGACAGGAGGCACCAACAAGACAGGAGGCACCAACAAGACAGGAGGCACTCACCAAGAAGACAGTAGGCACTCACCAACAAGACAGGAGACACTCACCAACAAGACAGGAGGCACTCACCAAGCAGACAGGAGGCACCAACAAGACAGGAGACACTCACCAACAAGACAGGAGGCACTCACCAAGTAGACAGGAGGCACCAACAAGACAGGAGACACTCTCCAACAAGACAGGAGGCACCAACAAGACAGGAGGCACCAACAAGACAGGAGGCACCAACAAGACAGGAGGCACCAACAAGACAGGAGACACTCTCCAACAAGACAGGAGGCACCAACAAGACAGGAGACTCACCTGGCAGGTAACAGAGGGCAAGGAGGGTGAGAGAAGTGACAGCACAGGATACGGACACGTTACGCGTTGCTATGTCGTTGAAAGTGTTCCAGTTAAAGGAGCCGTTGTGCCTCTGTGCGCTCCTGAGGTTCCCACACAGCTGCCATCTGGTGGACCAACCAGCTTGGTGAGTGATGGCATCTTATGTGAGAGTGAAGGGATGGCAACTATCAGGGGAAGCGCCAAGCTATTACGACTATATAGCACTTGTACGGGAGTCAGGACAAGAATTTGGGATGGGCCTGGGGAAAGGAATGGTGCCCAACCCCTAGGACGGTAGGGGATTGAACGCCGACCTGCATGAAGCATGACCGTCGCTCAACTATTTTATTTATGTGATAATGAACGTCCCCAGTGGCATCTTAATGTGATAGTCAGTGTCACCTGGTCCATGGTGACATCTCATGTGATAGTCAGTGTCACCTGGTGCATGGTGACATCTTATGTGATAGTGAGTGTCACCTGGTGCATGGTGACATCTCATGTGATAGTGAGTGTCACCTGGTGCATGGTGACATCTCATGTGATAGTGAGTGTCACCTGGTGCATGGTGACATCTTATGTGATAGTGAGTGTCACCTGGTGCATGGTGACATCTTATGTGATAGTGAATGTTACCTGGTGCATGGTGACATCTCATGTGATAGTGAGTGTCACCTGGTGCATGGTGACATCTTATATGATAGTGAGTGTCACCTGGTGCATGGTGACATCTCATGTGATAGTAAGTGTCACCTGGTGCATGGTGACATCTCATGTGATAGTGAGTGTCACCTGGTGCATGGTGACATCTCATGTGATAGTGAGTGTCACCTGATGCATGGTGACATCTCATGTGATAGTGAGTGTCACCTGGTGCATGGTGACATCATATGTGATAGTCAGTGTCACCTGGTGCATGGTGACATCTTACGTGATAGTTTGTCGGCTGGTTTATGATGTCATCTTACGTGATAGTATCACCATGTGAATTGTAACATTTGAAATTATATTTTACAATGACAAAGGTCTGCACGTTGAGCCTCGTGATTAAAGTATTCAAGAAAGCCGATCAGAATGTAGCGTAAGATCGGCCATACCATGACTGTATGGTTGGATGGACTGGACCCCATCCAGTACCTTCATTATAAGAGAGAGAGAGAAAGGGAGAGAGAGAGAGAGAGAGAGACAGACAGACAGAGACAGAGACAGAGAGAGATACCTACTCAAAGAATGTAATGAAGAATGCGATGATCCATACAACGCAGGAGACAACGAAGGCGAACTTCCACTCCGGGAAGAAGATGAAGGGTATTGCCTCCAGGTCTCTGGCGTTCTTGAGCGGGCCTCGGTCCAGGGGGTCCAGGTTGAGAGTCCTCACCACATCACACACCACCACTCTGGCCAGGGCGTCATCGCCGCACACAGGAACCTGACCAACACCTCTTATTTTCCACACCAGTTATACACACACACACACATATATATATATATATATATATATATATATATATATATATATATATATATATATATATATATATATATATATATATAAGTTACGGCTTGTAGGTTCGACATATATGTTGACACGACATATATATTAACCCCTATTAGCCAGAGCCAATAATACTTGGCCTAGTATGCAAGACCCTATTTGCCTAGCAAGCAAAGTGATATTTGTTATTTTCAAATATCTCTTTCCAAATCGGTACAATCCTATTAATATTATATTAAGAACATAAATTACGTTTGTACTAATTAATATGATATAAATTATCATATTAATATTAAGAACATTATATTAAGTACATTACTGATTGAGCTATGTTAGGTTAGATTTAATTAAATGTTAGTTTTAACTCACCTTAAAAAATTTAATCATACATAATGTAATGAAAAAGATATATCATTCCGCATAGACAAAAAATTGGGAAAATGTAATATTTTGAGAAAATTTGGCTTGTTATGCAACTTAGCCTAATAAGTAGAATGTATGTGTGTATATGTGTATGCATAAGTATCCACTAGGAGAAGGAAACAAAATTTCCGAACGTTTTGTATAGTAAGTTATTGAAATATAATTTCGCTTAATTTCTGTAGTGGATACTCTAGCATCTAAGAGCCACGTGTATTTACTATTTGTGCCTTCACATATAGTAAATACATGTGAATCGAGCAATTAGCATACAATGCAATACAATACAATACAATACAATTAGCATACATTGCATACTATAATTAGCATACTATACCTACAGAATAGAGCAATAAGCGCTTGGACCCCGCCATTTTAACCAATTTATATATTTTTTCTATTATAACACACACACATCCCTAGAAAGCAGCCCGTAGCAGCTGTCTAACTCCCAGGTACCTGTTTATTGCTAGGTGAACATATGCATCGGGATGAAAGAAACTACCCGTTTTTTCCGCCTCTGCCGGAAATCGAACACGCGCCATTAGGACTACGACCACCAAGCGCTGTCCAGTCAGCCACGAGGCCCCACTGTGTGTGTGGGTACTCACCTAGTTGTACCCACCTAGTTGAGCCTTGGCTCTTTGGTCTCGCCTCTTAACCGTCAATCAACAGGTGAAGAGGTACAGGTACATGTGTACCATATCTACACTTGAAACTGGGTATGGAGTCAGCCTCCACCACATCACTTCCTAATGCATTCCATTTATTAACTACTCTGACACTGAAAAAGTTCTTTCTAATATTCCTGTGGCTCATTTGGGTACTCAGTCTCCACCTGTGTCCTCTAGTGCGTGCGCCCGTTTTATGTTAAATAAACTGTTTTAGTCTACCCTATCAATTCCTTTGAGAATCTTGTACTCACCTAGTTTTACTTACCTAGATGTCCTTGCGGGGGTTGAGCTCTGGCTCTTTGGTCCCGCCTCTCATCCGTCAATCAACTGATGTACAGATTCCCGAGCCTACTGGATTTTATCATATCTACCTTTGAGACTGTGTATGGAGTCAGCCTCCACCACATCACTACCTAATGCATTCCACCTGTTAACTACTCTGACAGTGAAAAAGTTCTTTCTAACGTCCCTGTGGTTCATTTGGGTACTCAGTCTCCACCTGTGTCCTCTTGTTCGCGTACCACCCATTTAAACAATTTATCCTTATCTACCCTATCAATTCCTTTGAGAATTTTGTAAGTAGTGATCATGTCTCCCCTTAATCTTCTGTCTTCCAGTGTTATGTGTTGCCTTTCACGCAGCCTCTCCTCGTAACTCATGCCTCTAAGATCTGGAACTAGCGTAGTGGCAAACTTCTGAACATTTTTTTCCAGCTTCCTCTTGTGCTTGATAAGGTACGGGCTCCATGCTGGGACCGCATACTTGTATGTGGTGATCATGTCCCCCTAACTCTCCTGTCTTTCAGCGACGTGAGGTTTAATTCACGTAATCTCTCCCCATAGCTCATGCACGTCAGTTCGAGCATTAGTCTGGTGACAAACCTCTAAACCTTCTCCAATTTAGTAGTATTCCTGACGAAATATGGACTCCATGCTGGAGCTGCATACTCCAGGATTGGTCTGACATACGTGGTATACAAGATTCTGAATGATTCCTTTCACAAGCTTCAGAAGGCCGTTCTTATGTTGGTCAACCTGGAATATGCCGCTGATGTTAACCTCTTGATCTAGGCTTCAAGGGAGAGGTCAGGGGTGATATCAACCACAGGTCATTTTCTCTGATTATAGAAGAATTTCACCTCCCAAATGCTACCCTGTGTTTGGCTTCCTGCTACCTACACGTATCTTTATTACGTTACATACATCACACATTGTGAGTATGTGTGTGTGTGTTTGTGTATTTACCTAGTTGCATTCACGTAGATGTGCTTGCGGGGTTGAGCTCTGCTCTTTCGTCCCGCCTCTCAACTGTCAATCAACTGTTACTAGCTACTAACTAAAAATTTCCCCCTCCCCGCTACACACACACCCAGGAAGCAGCTCCATAACAGCTGTCTAACTCCCCAGATACCTATTTACTGCTAGGTAACAGGGGTCATCAGGGTGAAAGAAACTTTGCTCGTTTGTTTCAGCCTGGTCCGGGAATCGAATCCGGGATACAGAATTACGAGTCCTGCGCGCTGTCCGCTCAGCTACCAGATCCATATGACACTGTGTGTGTGTGTGTGTGTGTGTGTGTGTGTGTGTGTGTGTGTGTGTGTGTGTGTGTGTACTTACCTAGTTGTGCTTGCGGGGGTTGAGCTCTGGCTCTTTGGTCCCGCCACTCATCTGTTAATCAACTAATGTACAGGTTCCTGAGCCTATGGGGCTCTATCATATCTACACTTAAAGGTGGGTATGGAGTCAGCCTCCACCACATCACTTCCTAATGCATTCCATTTGTCTACTGCTCTGATACTGAAAAAAATATTTCTAACGTCTCTATGGCTCATTTGGGCACTCAATTTCTACCTGTGTCCCCCTTGTGTGTGCGCCCCTTGTGCTAAATAGGCTGCCTTTATCTACCCTATTAATTCCTTTGAGAATCTTGTATGTGGTGATCATGTCCCCCTCTAACTCTTCTGTCTCCCAGTGACGTGAGGTTAAATTCCCGTAGTCTCTCCCCATTGCTCAATCCACTCAGTTCAGGTACTAGTCTGGTGGCAAACCTTTGACCCTTTTCCAGTTTAGTCTTATGCTTGACTAGATATGGACTCCATGCTGGAGCCGCATACTCCAGGATTAGTCTGACATATGTGGTATACAAAGTTCTGAAGGATTCCTTACACAAGTTTCTAAAGGCCGTTCTTATGTTAGCCAACCTAGCATATGCCGTTGATGTTATCCTCTTGATATGAGCTTCAGGAGACAGGTCTGGCGTGATATCAACCCCCAAGTCTTTCTCTCTCTCTGACTCTTGAAGTATTTCATCTCCCAAATGATACATTGTGTCTGGTCTCTTTTATCTACACCTATCTTCATTACATTGCATTTGCTTGGGTTAAACTCTAACAACCATTTGTTTGACCATTCTTGCAGCTTGTCCAGGTTTTCCTGAAGCCTCAAGCTGTCCTCCTCTGTCTTAATCCTTCTCACAATTTTGGCGTCGTCAGCAAATATTGAGAGGAGTGAGTCTGTACCCTCTGGGAGATCATTTACGTATATCAGAAACAGAATAGATCCGAGTACGGAGCTCTGTGGTGATTCCACTGGTGACTTCACGCCATTCTGAGGTCTCACCCCTCACTAAAACTCTCTGCTTCCTATTGCTTAGGTACTCCCTTATCCACTGGAGCGCCCTACCAGTTACTCCTGCCTGTTTCTCCAGCTTATGCATCAGCCTTTTATGGGGTACTGTGTCAAAGGCTTTCCGACAGTCCAAAAAATGCAGTCCCCCCACTTTTTCTTGCTTAATCTTTGTCACCTGATCATAGAATTCTATTAAGCCAGTAAGGCAAGATTTACCCTCCCTGAACCCATGTTGATGGGTTGTCACGAAGTCCCTTCTCTCCAGATGTATTACTAGGTAATTTCTCACAATCTTCTCCATCACCTTGCATGGTATACAAGTTAAGGACACTGCCCAAAGTTCAGTGCCTCTTGTCTGTCACCCTTTTTGTATACTGGGACAACATTAGCCGTTTTCCATATTTCTGGTAGGTCTCCCGTTTCCAGTGACCAACTATACCCTTTGGAGAGTGGAGAGCAGAACGCTCCTGCACATTCTTTCAGTACCCATGGTGAGATTCCGTCTTCCCAACAGCCTTTCTCACGTCCAGATCCAACAGGTGCCTCTATACCTCTTCTCTAGTAATTTCGAACCCTTCCAAGGCCGCCTGGTTTACTGCCACCTTTCCTAGTTCAGTGATTTTACCTTTCCTCGTACTATTGTGAAGACCTCCTGGAACCTCTTGTTGAGTTCCTCACACACCTCTGTCATTCTCTGTGTACCTGTCCTCACCCGTTCTAAGTTTCATCACCTGTTCCTTCACTGTTGTTTTCCTCCTGATGGGACTGTGTAGTAGCTTTGGTTCGGTCTTGGCTTTATTAGCTATATAATTTTCTTACTTTTTCTCAGCATTTCTTCTCACATTATCGTACTCGTTCCTGGTTCTCTGGTATCTCTCTCTACTGAATTCTAATTTGAAGAAAGTAGAACAGTGCAAACTGAAACTAGCAGATCCATTGTTCATCACAATGAAATGTGTGAAGTAAAACATGTGTATGGGGCAAGTAACAAAGTCAGTAGACTAATAGATGTTGTCACAGCTCATATAAGACTTGGCTACAAGTATCTCTGGCAGTTCGGCTTGTATAGGGATCTACAAGAAGTAAAGTGTAAAGTGTGTGGACAAAGACAGGGACACACACTCGAACATTATATCTTGGATTGTAGTAAAATTGAGTCTTTTAGAGATAAATCTAAGCTTACTTTGTATTATATGGCAAACTATCTAATTAC